CACGCAAGAGAGGTGGCGGCAAAGTGGCAGGCGCTTAGGAAGCATTCCCTTAAGGAGTCGCGAGCTGTTTGCCTACTCCGGCTGCTCAGTTCTGCAATACCCATCAGGGGAATGGTGAGTTCACTGCTCTCAGAAGCAAAATCCTTTCTTCATAGGCGACTAAGACACCCGACAAATGTCGCAGGTAGTGTGCCCAAGCAAAGCTAAGAAGCCCAGTTACACAACTTTTGCCACAATCTCATTGGCCTCAGGTGCAAACGCTCGCAAGCTCCTCAGTCTTTGTGAGCCTAGTTTCTTGGACCCCAGATCTGGGCCCCAGAGGATCAAGTTTTTGTTTTCTAAATCCGGCCAAACACAAGGGAAAACAGTCGAGGGGTAGGGGGGAGAACGTCTCAGCCCTCCCACCAAACATGGAACTGCAGAGGTTCGTTTTGAAAGACAGTCTTCGAAAAGGCCCCTGCCCCTGTGCCATGTTTAAGGAAAAGCGATTGGCTCAAACACGTGTCACTGAAAAACGCGGTCAGATCTCGACCGTCTTCTGAGTCCAGCGGTGACTCGGCACGTCATTTGTCTGCAAAGCACCCATATCACTAGGGAGTTGCTTGAACGGGGTATCCTCCGATGCTCAAGACTCAGACCCCACAAACCACCCGACCAAAAACCCGCCCAAGCGTTCAAGCATTCTTTGGCCCGAAGCCAGAACGCAACCTAAGCGTCGGTGAAAGGGGTCCTTCAGCGGGATCGATCCGAGGCGCGGCGTTCAATGGCAACAACTAAACGTCGCCCATTGGAAGACCTAGCTGGATCAAAACACATGTCTCTGGACTTGACAAACATCACGGTTGATGTCATAAATGCTGCACGGTACAACATGGCCCGAGGCGATTCCTCTGTTCCGTACTGGCTTTCATTGGAAAATTAAATGCACAATTGCTGCAAAGTGACCGCCTGAACTATCCAATTATGTACCTCGTACAAAACAACAGGGTCTTCGATGGATGTCTTTTTCGAGGGTGCACTTTTGGGGCTGTTTGGAGGGTTTTGGACACCAAAGGAACAGCACCCAATCGTGGGGTTCCCTCCAAACTGACATAAATCCAAGGGTATGGGTTGCATTTTCGAAGAGGAAGAACAATAGGCGCAACAAAAATATGGTCCATGGTTCACTCAGCTTGCGCGCGCTTAAAAGCGCTCGCTCCCCTTGCAGGCAGTTTTAGCTGCTTTATTTCCAGCCTACATGGCCCGCCCGGACATCATGGGGTCGACGAGCGGCGAAATATCCGGCCTGTGAGTCAAAAATGCGTACCCAACATGGGTTGCCCTGGCAAATGGAACCAAAGACTAAAACCTGCGGTCCATATCCTGGTGGTTTTATTTTGATCCATACCCATATCCGGCCTGTGCTTCAATTGCCATGGCCAAACATGGCGTGCAATTCAAGCAAAGCAAGCCCGGCAATGGATGGTCCTTTCAGCTGCTGGCATGTTGCGTTGCTTTCGACGTGGGTGTCTGCTGTAAAAAACATGTAAAGAATGCTTCAGAAGTCTGCTGTGTGCCGTGCCGGAGTCTTGCGAAGCATGCACCCTGCACATCAGGGACTCCTACCATTTTCTGTCATAAATCCATCATTTACGTAACGTATGTGATATCAAACAAAATATACTGGCGCGCAATTCCATTAGCTGCGGCCATGCTTGTGCGGGGCCAAGTGCAGTTGCCGTCTTCGGGCCAGTTGGTGTCCTGCAAGTTTCGGCTTTCTGAGTGGAGTAGACACCAAGTCAAGACTTGTTGTTCGATGCTTGACATCCAGAAACTGTTTGAGCAACTGCGGGCACGCATGTAGACGGACATCACAAGCCATGAACACACAGATGCTGCTCACTCAAATTGATATGAGTGCGGCTTTAAGCTTCTCACTAGCACTGATGGCACCACCAAACATAAGTGAACGCCCGAAACCTTTTTGGAAGATCGTCTTTGAATGAAACGGGATTTCAAGCCGCGCACCCCATGGTTGTTCGTGGGTGCCGCCATGGCTTGAATTCATGCCGGTCGCCTTGGAGTGGTGGACCCAAAGCTGGCGCTTTGTCTGAAAAGGTTCACGTTTTACTTCCTCCTTTCGGGTGGATGAGATCGGGCAATTGCAGCCCTCAAAATGAAAGGTGCACCCAATCGTTGCCAAGGTTCAAAAGGGCTAACACAGGCGCTTTCAAGTTTTTTTCAGCCCTCATGATTTCACAGCCCGTTTTCTCTCACCCGAACGCCGAATTTGTAGACCCAAAGCAACCATCCGTCGACTTCAGGCTGTTCAGTAGACAAGCCCAACGTCGAATCATGGATTTCGAGTGTCGCTTATTCAGGTGCCGTCTCGGAAGCCCAGGTCCTTGCCCTCCGCGACTTCCAAAACGGTACGCAAGGAAACATGTGGGGATTGGGCAATATTCCGTTCGGCCCCCAAATGACCATAACTTTTCCCATTTAGTGGGAAAAGTCATCTTTTTGGTGGTTCTCCCCAATTGTCATCCATGTAAAGGACCTTTGGATCAACCCCCTGTATGGAAAATAGTAGGGATTGGCTTGGTGACGGCGAGCCTCTATCCCTGAGAGTCGCGTTGGTGAAATAGTCAAGTATAGTTGTGGCTCTATGTAGGGGGAAGCCATTCGGCTTTATTTTGGGCCGGGTTCCTGCACGGGGCTCCAAAGTTTTTAACTGACCCGAAGAGTAAAGAACAAGCAGCAAGTCGCTCATATGGTGGTGAGGCAGAACAGTCTTGCATATCGAAAAACTCTGCTCATTGCCGCTATCCTTCTAAAAGCAAACATGGAACACGGATGAGACTATGTTCCTTTTGCTTGTTTGCCTGTTTGTTTCTTTGGGGGGCCTCCAAGTTGCTTCTCCGGCCAAAATACTCAGGATCTGGCGGTGCTCGCAAACGAAAGCCCCGATCGGGATGTTGGACCGGATTCTAGACTCACACTGTGTTCATAACATTCTTCGTCCCTGTTTAACTTTGTCAAGGGAAACCAACATGAAAACCGAAGCCATTTTGGGACTCGACACACAAAACCATCCGACCTCCCCACCTCCGACCTCCCGCGATCCCATACCGGCCTGATCTTAAGCCAGCGAGCCGTCGGAAAGCCTCCAAGCCCGTTTCTCGTGCCGCTTGTGCTTTGTCTTGTCCTGACTTGTCTTGTTTGCTCGTGTTGTGTTGGCTAAACTTGTTTTGCTCTGGTGTATTATTGTTGTACACTGAAGTGTTGGTGTGCTTTGTCTTGTTGCATCGTGCTATTTAGCCGTGTTGCGTCTTGCTGCGCTGCTTTGCCATGCTCCCCTTGGGGCTGAAGCTGTTTTCTGGGTGGTCTTGCTTTAGATTGGTGGGTTAAGGAACCCAAAAGGTACCGGATAGTTTGGGACGGCCTCCACCCAAATCCCTTGTCGTTTTGCTGGCATCTTCAATGTTAGGAGGAGACAGAAGAAGCAAAGCGGTACAAGAGATACCACCAACACCATCGAACAGACTGGTTGTAGCGCTTCCCAGAGCCTGTGGCCAAGGAGCAGTGCAACTTGAGCAGTGCCGCAAGCCCGTTGACTTTGGTTTTGGATTTAGATGGTGGTAAAGGGATAATATTTCTATGGGCCTGACAATAACGGCACTGGCCTGCATGGCTTTCATCGATTTAGTGACTTCCCCTGTTCCCATGCACGCACGCGACCAGCCCCCAGCAGAGCACGAACTCTTCTTGTTGCCCCGGGCTCTGGGCTGCATCGCGCACGCACGCTCGGCGCCGCACACTCGCCTCCCAAATGCTAAGCACACCCGCTCAAGGGCACTCGCTCGGCACGGGCTCAGCACTGCACACATGCCTTCCATATGATAAGCACACCCGCTAAGGAGCGCACGCTCAGCACGCAGCGAGAAGCGCACCCGCTCTGGAGCACAAGCTCAGCTATGCAAACGTGCCTGCCACATGATTATTGCCACGCTCTTCAAGCTACAAAAACCAGTGCGGGTCACCACCAGTTCGGCGCGTACTATTACCCCCTAAAACCAGGTAGCAGAAGCACCTACAAGTACCGAGGGTTTCGGGCGCTCTCTCAGGGTGCATTGCTTCGTCAAGCTGGCATTGCAAGCTTCATTATCGCAATCCGGCTTGCTGCATGGGTGTGCTTTTTGTGCAGTTGCCTTCTTGGATATCGAAGGCATCCTGATGCTAGCTTTGTGGGTTCTCTATTTGGAGACGCCCCTACCCGGCGACCTTGGGCTAAAAGTAATTACTTGGAACCATCTTTGGGGTTGAGTCATGTTCAGTGGGAACTTTAACTCTATGCTCATCGCGCACACCAAGTGCCCTTTGAGGTCATGAGTTCGGTGGAACAAAGATGGCCTTCAGTCGGTTGCATGTCGGTAATCAACGCACCAACGAAATGAATCGATTTCAAGGTTGCTTGTACAGACCCCTTTAGATACCCCTTGGGTAACGGCCCGGGTTTGCTGTTCATACCCGCAGACCTCAACATGGCTACCATCGTCACAAGGACACCCACATGAAAGGCTAAGGCTTTGAGACCATGACTTGAACCTAAGCAGGGGGGTCTTTTTGCCACCTGTGGAAAATTATTCGACCCCGTAGTGAAGGATTCCTTAAGGAGGTCGCCAATTCAATTTTCTCACAACAGGTGGGAAAAAAGACCCCCCGAACCTCAAAACGGGTTTCAATAAATGGCTGTGGGTCAAAACCAATGGTACCATTTTTGGGGTAGGTGCACCACTCATTTTAGAACCTATTTTAGTGGGGATTGGGATGTTCACTGGGGGTACGATTTGGCTTTTGACCCATGGCCAACTCAGTCCTACGCTGCACACATTGGTGGCAACCCGGTGCCTCGCGCACGGGTGCAACCCCCGGTCTCAGGCCGCGGCATTCAGATTGGCCGCGGAGCTCACCATGGAAGAGATGGAGTTCGTGAGTCCTCTTTTCTAGGGGTTGATTCCTTTTCCATTCTTTTCAGCCATCGTTCTTTTCAAAAGCCAATTTTTTCCCCAGAAAAAATTGGTGGTCTTCTAGAAAGATCCGGATCCCTGGACAGAATGGGGAAGTTACTTCTCCAAGCAACACCCCGGAAACCGGGGTTTTTTTGGCCCAGACCAAAACCCAAGGGACCCCCTCAAAAACGTGAAGAAATAGGGGGACAAGCAGCCGGTTCAAGGAGTGCACAAATGATGGATCTCATGTAGAGGCAACAGCGTGTATCTGGCAGGTGGTCATTACCGCATGTTTGTGATATGCAAGTGGAAAACTAAAAAAGCCGTATCGACAACAAGAACGTAACAGAAGTGTTCGTTCGTTAGGGACAATCCATTCCCCTCCAAATGCGGAACAAGCAACACCCCTTAATGTTTCATTTGCCGCTGTGTGTGTGTGTGTGTGCGCGTGTGTGTGTCTGGGGGCACTGGGGTGGGACCTTCACGAGTGAGCTCAATCCCCCCCCCCAGAATGGTGTCGCGCCGTGTGCCCGCTTTTTCAGTCACACCAAGCACGCCCCCAGTGGCCCGCCCACGATTGGTGACTCCTCCTCCAAGGTGATGGAAATGAGAAACACAAATTCCACAGTCTTTGTCCACTGCTCACGGTTTCTCTGAGCCTGAAGTGAGACCCCAGGTGTACTTTCCTTCGAAAAGGCACTGTACTCATTTCAGGGGCTGCCAATCAAGTTTGTTCAGGGGGGTAGAGATACACTGTCGTGTCAACACGAAAGAGGTTTGTTTAAGACAGTACACATCCAGAAACAAAGGTTTGCCAAACATCTGGGGAGGGAAAGCCACTCCGTGGCTTCACCAAAGCTCATTTTTCTCGAGCAGAACCAGTTGCAGACCCCGGCCAAAGCATGTCTCTACATGCTGGAAACCACTGAGCAACAGAGAGTCTTCCCAACCAGTAGTTGAATAGAATCAGAAATAACCGCATCTCCGATTCCCTGGCTCTCCATGCCAGGATTTGGTTTTGAAGCGAAGCACCCAACCACACAACCAGAAGGAAAAACAAACAAGACAAGGAGACTCAGAATCAAAAGCCTGGGGGGCCACAAGAACTGACTCAGGACGCATGGCCACACAGTTCTTTCCGGAATCACCAAAGAGGACTCGCACCGCGCCGCACCTGCCCCAGTGCGGCTGCCTGCTGAGCCAATTTGTTGTGTTCATTTCTCTTCGGCAACGACGAGGCTCATGGTCAACCCTTAGTGACCAAATTGCTGGATTGCCATGGCAAATGAACTCAACATACCTCTGGGCGCGTGTCAGAGCTAGCTTTCTCGTCAGTCTTATAAGAGAGACGATTTCAAACAATTTGAGGATCCCCCAGCTAGCATTGAAAACTCCATTTGCTCCCGTGCAGAATCACATCTAACATCAAACCTGAAAACGCGTAAACTTCGAAGACTCGAATCTCTTTTGGGGTGACCCCCAAAACCAGCTTCCATGTCAACCATAGGATACTCACCATGCTCCGTCGAATTAAAGTATCGATTCCAACAGCGCCCGGACGTGTTGTAGTGCCGGATCATCAGCCCCCCACTGCCATTTGGCGCCTGAGTCTGAAATGGAAGTCTTCGGGCTCCCAGTGAACCCGGCCCAACCAAAAGAACGGTCCGGCGAGGTACCAAATTGGTTCCTGGAAAAGGGAAAGAAACGGACATCAGCGGCTTTGTGTCTAGCTCTCAGGCCCTGTGCCTTCCATATGCAAACATCAACCTTCCAAAGACCTGTGTAACTTGGAGCTTTCGCTGACTCTTTGTAACTTCTCAGGCCCTGGGTTGGTTAGCGACATGTGTCCCCTGCAAACATAAACCTACCAAAGAAAAACTCAAACGGTGTTCTTCAAACCACCAAATCCGTGAAGATCACTCAAAACACACTCATTTCACTTTCTTCGGTGGTGTGTTAAAACACGAAAAACGTCAATCAAGCGCTGCCACAGGGTGGGGACGTCCCTATCTCCCAAGCTCGCAGCCATGTCGGGAAATCAACTGAAACAAGAACCCGGGAAAGCTTGAAACACATTGAAAAGCTGACCCCTTTCATATGGAGACATTCTTAATTTGAGAGGCTGGTTGGGAAAATGCAAGCAGATCGGATCCGTGGGTCGATAAGGAGCCTTCATGGGAAAAAGGGCACCCAGACTCAAACAAATGACACCGCAGCTGAGAGGATTCCCTTGGTCCGCGCCAAATCAACATGAACCCCAAAAAGAAGGTTCCTTTTGAAAACATGTCGGTTTGAGGGGTTCCATGCTAATCTGCAGGGATCGGCTGGGTAGCCATCTTTCCAACAATTGATTGTGGAAGCGGGCAAGCCTCTAATCTTTTTAACGAGATGGTCTTCCAAAACCTCCTGTCCACTGCCATGATGTCTGGAAAAAGACAGTGCCCTCAAAAAGACACCCTTTTGGGGGTACCAGGCATATCCACCGTCTTGTCGCTAACGGGATTCCCCAACCCCAAAAGAATCCATCTTGCTGGTTCTCAGCAGGGAATGAGAAATGGAATGACCCCGAGAAAAAAAAAGAAGAAGAAAAAACCAAAAAAATCCACCCTATGGGTTTGCTTTATTCGGGACGGTTCATTCCCTCGTTCCCTGGGAGTCTCAGCAGGGAATGAGGAAATGACCCAAGAAAGACCCTATGGCTTCCTTTAAGGATCCCCCAACCGGTTAACCCCCCCCCAAAAAAGAAGAAGAAAAGAAATCATCCACCCTGTTTGCTTTGTTCGGTTCCCCACCTATCGCACCAGCAAGTTAGGGAAAGCAAAAGCCCAAGCCCTAAGCTCTTGAGGGGAAGATTTGGGAACATTTGAATCCAAAGACCAAGCTCAGCGTTGCAACCAGGGCTTTCATTTCTCCAAAGCCCGCTTCATTCCCGACACTGACTCGCCGTCGTTCTCGCCGCTCCGTCGTTCCACATGCCATGGCGCTATTGCGCGGCGCCAGCCGGCCCTGCGCCACCTCCTTACGCAGCAGGCCTCGAATCAGAATTCAGGTGACCCCTCGTTGCCTGTGTTCAGCCGCTCAAAGGGGACCTGCGAAAAACAAATATCATTAGACACATTTGTTTGGTGTGCCACTGCTTTTTGAGGGTACCCGTTTTTTGCCGTAGTTTCCACCACTACTCTGGGTCCCCCTTTTGGCTCCCGAACGCTCAAGCTCACTGGCCGCCCATTTCACTACACACTGCCAGGTTTGTTTGTGGAGATGAAAAGTCCCCCCCCCAAAAAAAAAACAAAACACTCAGATGCCAGTGGATTTCCATGGGACAAAAAGGGCATCCTTTTTTGTTGGTTGAGTTTAAAGGGGAACCCTAAACCCCCAACAAAGTTGGTCAAAGGGCACCTAGCTGGGGGAGGAGAACAGTTGTCACCGGATGTGTCCGATTCCAAGGAGCTATGGACCTCCTGCTTGCCCTTCTCCGAGAAGTTCTGCCATCCTTCCACCAGCTGGCTGAGGCCCACCAACGCCTCCGATGGGAACCGACAATGATTGGCCTCCCATACCTCCATTTTCTTAAGTCCCCGGAAAAAAATATGGCCAATAGTGATAGATTCTCTTCAAAACCAACTGGTGAAAACTAGAAGATATTCTTAAACGAACGGAAGCATATTTGGCCAATCCTCCCCTCCTGCCCCGTGCAGGAAACCCCGAGAAAATCCCAAGGAACGCTTGGCGGTCAGCCGCATGGCGGTCAACCGGCCAAAGATTCCAAAGATTGAAAATCGGCAAGCGCGAATGCTTTCCAACGGTGTACTCCGGGGGTACACCCGCGGGTGTACAGACTTGACCTCCGGCAACTTGGGCGAAGGACCGGTTTCTGCGCCAAGCGAAGTAAGGGATCTGCATGGGTTTGGGGCGTTCGCCAGCAGGGGAAACAGCAAGGGGCAAGTTCTGTATATGGCTATGGGTCCAAACCCCGTAAAGTGAACATCCCGATTTCCACTGAAATAGACTAAAATGGGTGGTGCACCTACTCCAAAATGGTACCATTGGTGTTGACCCACGGCCATATAAGCCTTCAGAGAGGCAACCAGGTGCGCTACTGACCAGGGGCTCGGAAGTGGCATTATTTGGGGTGGGGATTAATTGAGGTGGAAGGAATCTTTTGTCAGACCCCCCAGGGGTTGGATGAGTCTCAATCACACTAAATACGACCTTTGCAGTTTGAGGGTCTTTGGGAGGGGGGTTCAGGAAAATCTACTGAGTTGGCATCCACCGTGCCGCAGAATCGATGGCTTCGACTCCAATGAGACGTCCCACACATTGCACTGCACTTTTTTCAGAGAAAAAAACTACTACATGCATGTAATTCTCACGGAAACAAACACAATAAACACCTGCTAGATCTTAAGATTCCAACGAGGAAAAAAAGACAAGACCTGCCTTCCCGCATCACTGCCGGGGCCATGAAAGTGACATCCTCAAGTTTACCTCTGAATGGTGGTTCAAAGGGAAACCACCAACAGACCAAAAGCAATCTCAAGAACACTCCTCAAACTGCTCACTGTCTTTCTGGCTCTCAGCCGAGAATCACCAAGAGTTTTGAGAATGAACCTAGGGCAAAACCACTGCACCCTCGACATCATGGTTTTTCAGTGGTTGTACCCCCCTCCCCCCCCGCCCCTCTTGGCTGTGGCTCAAGAAACCGGTACCAACATGGGTTGCCCTGGTAATTAAGTGGAAACATGGACCAAAACCTGCGGTTTGCCCCTGTATTTAATTTGGGTGCGGATTTATTTTGGGATTGTTTTTCGTTTTTCGTGTTTTTTTCGGGCCAGTAAAATGTCGTATTTTACAGCATTTTCTCGCGAAATTGACGCATTTTACACTAGCCCGTCAACATCCCCAGCATCGTTTTCAACATCCCCCGCATGTCCGACCAACATCCTAGCATCACCAACAAATCGTGGGTAACAAAATCCAAAAAGTAGCTGGCGGGTTGACGGGGTCAAAAATAATGATTCAAACAGGAGGGCATTTCAATCCCAGAGAAAAAAACAACAGCGGGGGGGTTGGGGGGGGCGGCAGCCCCCCCCATAATGGTCGCAGAAGTGATGATTCGAATAGGGGTGCAATTAAATCTCTGCAAAAAATCTAAAAACTAGCGGGGGGGTTGGGGGGGGCGGCAGCCCCCCCCATGATGTTCGAAGAATTGATGATTCAACTAGGGGTGCAATTAAATCTCTGCAAAAAATCTAGAACGTAGCGGGGGGGTTGGGGGGGGCGGCAACCCCCCCATGATGTCGGAAGAAGTGATGATTCAAGTAGAGGTGCAATGATTCAAGAAAGGGTGCGATAGAATTTAAAAGGCAGCGGGAGGGTTGGCGGGGGTGGCTTCCCCTATGATGTTGGAAGAAATGCATACATACAGACATACATGGATTACACAGATTACCTAAAATGTCGTATTTTGCAGCATTTTCTCGCGAAAGTGGACGCTCGAAAAAGTGATGATTCAAGCAGGGGTGCAATTCAATCTCTGCAAGAAATCTACAAAGTAACGGAGCAGAGGCGGCAACCCCCCCCCAATAATGTTTGAAGAAGAGGAGTTGATTCCGATTCAAATAGGGGTGCAATTACTCTGCAAACAATCTAAACAGTAGCGGGTGGGTTTGGGGGGGGTTCCCCCCATGATGTTCGAAGAAGTGATGATTCAAATAGGGTGGTGGTGATGCTGATGATGCGGGAAGCCAAATCCAAAAACCAATGAAAGGGCGCAAAAGCCAAAAAGCCCGAAGGATGCGAAAAGCAGAAGCCGCCAAAAGCCGCCAAAAGCCGCATAAACCAGCGAAGAGCCGCAAAAGCCAAAACGCCACCTGCCGAAGAGGAACTGGGAATGCAGAGGATGCGAAAAGCCAAAAAGCCACCAAAAGCCGCATAAACCAGCAAAAAGCCGAAAAGCCCAGAAGCCCAGAAGCCGAGAAGCCAAGAAGCCGAAAAGCCAAGAAGCCACGAAGCCAAGAAGCCAGAAAGCCAAGAAGCCAAGAAGCCAAAAGCGAAAAAACATCTTAAAAAAGAAGAAGAACAAATCCTAAAATAAATACCCCTCCATTTAATTTTCAGCCACACCCTCTTCCCTGGGTGGCTTGCGGGGAGCGAAAGGTGGCCACCTTTCGCTTTGCCCAAAACCCGCAAGCTTCGACCCGTCCTCGGCTCCGACCTGACACTTCGGAGCCGCCCGACCTGGCAACATGACCTGAGCGGAATGCGTGCGCGAAACGCGATGCCCGGCTGGATAGATTGTGACTTTATATGGGTCAGACTCCATTTCTCACTGCTCAGCAAGTTTGGAAAGCCTTTCAAAACCAACAGGAAAATGGCTGGTGAACCGGTGTGACTGGAGAAAGCTGGGCGTACTTCTCATGAGTTTCGCTTTCGCGCAGTGATCGAACTTGGAAGAAACTAATGGCTGGGACCAACCTGAGCAGAAAGTAATCTAGTGCAGCCACTCCCCTTTTGGGAACCCATTCCAAATTGTCCTTGGGCTGTTCCTCAGCGCACGTTTTGCATCGTTTGTTCAGCTGAGCGAGTCGACAATTGGCGACTTTCCCCGACCAAACGCAGCTTGTTTGCAACTGGTGTTGTTCGCTCGTGACACGCCATGTGTTGGATTTTGGCACTTTTTCAGACAGCTTGATTTTGTGCTTTCGCTTTAGAGACCAGAAAAGAAGAAGGAGCAGGGAGGCCCAGGTATGGTTGTCTCAGATCTCCACCCGGTAGCCGTGATCTGGACAGGTCTGTTGTGCAGCTTTTCAGATTACCAAACCGCGGCAAAATGGTTGGGACCACTCCTTGGGTAAACATGTAGTTGCTGCTTAAAATGTTTAAAAACAACCTTCTTGTGTTTCCCCAAGAGTTGAACGGGATATGGAACCCAAAAAACTCCAATGCGCTGGTATCCTTGGCGTCCTCTTGGTTTCGCGTGTTTGGTTGCTGTTGACCCCCCTGCAAAAAGTTCAACCTTTTGGGGTTTAAGTGGAAAACCCCAAATGGTTTCCACCATTTTCCACCAAAAAGTGAAAGTCTAAAGATCTCTTGCCCAATGGCAGTCAAGCGTGAAATCCCCAAGATGGGTAAACCTCCCATGCGCCGAACTTCCTTCGCGTCCTCGGGCTGTCCTCAGATCCGCGAAAAGTGACTAACTTTTGGATGGGTGAAATGAAATCCAACCACGAAACACTAAAAGGCCAAAAGGCTAAGGAACCGGATCGCTGGCTTCGCCACAAAGCTCTTGGCTTCCCGTTGGTTTCCCCAGGCCAACCCCAAAAAACCGCAAAAACTCCGGTCCCAGGCGCCTGGACCTGCTCCGCCAGGTGCCACAGCAAGCGCTGCCTCTCGGTGGGCGAGCTCCAGCCATGGCACGGCAGCACCAGCCTTATAGCGGGAAACCCGGGCTGAGCTGTTTTTTAGTATGTTGCTCTTTTTTTGTCTCTTTTTGTTTTGCTGCGGTTGTTG